CCAAACACCTCATGGGATTTGGTTCCTTGGTTTGGAGGTAAAGGGTCATGGTTTCATTAGACATCCCAGTTAGTTGGCCTAATAATGTGTTTAGTGCTTGTGTTCTACCTCCTAGTTTGTTATGTAGCGCCCGGGGTCTTAAAAGCTTGCAAGTGGACATCTGAGGCACAATTGGTCTCTATTCACTTGGAGCAATAGAGGAAGAAGGAGAGTCAGGAATAGGAGGAGGATATGGAATGTGTCACTAATTGCCTCCATGAACAACTGCCTCTTTTGCCATGAGACCAGAAGAACTGGATGGTGCCCAGCTACCATTACTGAACATTTTCATCAAAGATTCCTTAGGAGACTCCTGATCAAAAGAGGGAAAATTCAGAATGGAATTTTAAATTTTCATGGACTAGACTTCCTGGGGCCATGGAGAGCAGATGAACCCCTGAAACTATTGCCCTGAGATAATCTTTAGACCTTGGACCAAAAATATGCCTTGAAGTCATCTTAAAACCAGACAATAGTTTAGCTTAACTAGTGAAAAAGGTCTGCCTTGTGCATTATGCTTTTTTAACAACTATCTATATGGGATCAAGTTGACAGCAGCAACTAGAAAGATTGGGTGGGAACCTTAGGGGGCAGTGGGTTTATGTTAATGAGGGAGGAACAACTCAGAAAAGGAGGGTGAGAATGGTTGCATAACTCGAAGAATGTAATCAATGTCACTAAATTGTACATGTAGAAACTGTTGAAAAAAAAAACAAAGAAAGACATTTTTTGGTAAGTAAATTTTATTTTGGTCCTTTGAATGGTCTCAGACAAGCAAACTTATTTCAATGGAAGAAAACACAATGGTCTGAAGACCTGCCACAGTGTTAAGTTAGCCGAAGCTGTGACCTTTCACTGGTTTAGGATTCTCATACAGCAAGGGCCTTGGAAATATTCACAACCAAGCCTCCCTGGGCAGGTCCTGCCCACAAGCTCCCCCACTCCCCCAAGAATTCTCCCCTGTCCAACTCTGTGAGGTCCACTCACTCCACTTTCCTTGGGGGAAGAGTCTCAAATACCATTCTTTTTTTTTTTTTTTAATTGTAGTTTAGATGAAGATTTACAGAACAAATAGTTTCTCATTAAACAGTTAGTACACATATTGTTTTATGACAATGGTTAACAACACCATGACATGTCAACACTGTCCCTTCTCAACCTTGGGTTCCCTATTACCAGCTTTCCTTTCCCATCCTGCCTTCTAGTCCCTGTCCCTGGACTGTTGTGCCCCATTAGTCTCGTTTTCTCTTATGGGGCTGTCTAATCTTTGGCTGAATGGTGAACCTCGGGAGTGACTTCATTACTGAGCTAACAGGGTGTCCAGGGGCCATACTCTCGGGGTTTCTACAGTCTCTGTCAGGCCAGTAAGTCTGGTCTTCTTTTTGTGAGTTAGAATTTTGTTCTACATTTTTCTCCAGCTCTGTCCGAGACCCTCTGTTGTGATCCCCCTCAGAGCAATCAGTGGTGGTAGCCGGGCACCATCTAGTTGTACTGGACCCAGTCTGGTGGAGGCTGTGGTAGTTGTGGTTGTCAAATACCATTCTTAACACTATTCTTTTACCTGGAGTCATTAATTGCCTGGTATTTCCAATCTAGAAGCTTTAATGGCTTCAGAAAATCTCTATTCTCAGGTAAGTCTACTACATGGCTATTCTCAGGGAATGTTAATAGGTATTGTACAAAAAGAAAAAGTTCTGAAATTAAAGGAAATGCTAGATTAAATAAATTTAAATAGATTTCTTCATTGCAGGGCTTCTCAGAGTCTTTGCAGTGCTAATATGCATTGTGAATTCCCCAGAAGGGGAATATAATTGATGGTGTTTCCCAAACAAATACAAAGGATTTTCCCGTCCTCAGGAACATGGATGGGGTTAGTGTTCCATGGAACACACTTTGGGAAATGTTAATCTACATACTCTACCAAGTGTCAAAAGTCCTCTCAGACACTGATCTGGAGCTTTCATCTGTAACACGCATAGGTCTTGGGGCAGGTAGTTGTAACACTGAGGACAAACAAAGTGTTTAAAGGGACAGCAGCTGTTGAACATTAGGCCCTGGAGTTAGAACTAGAAGATTCAAACACAGACTTTATTTGTAGAAGGAAACAGAGCAATAGGATTTTTCAGTTGTTGCAGAGAGAAACTTTTAGCAGAAGACTGCCTATTTGTACCTGGATCCCAGGAGCCCATTAGTTGCACTGTGTGCAAAGTTGGGCATATCTTACTTCCCCAGACGGCGCCACCATTTGAAGCTTATCAGTCATCTGCTGTGTGGTTTGTCTACTTTCTTTTCTATTTTCTCACACTATGATGTGAGGTCATTTTGCTTTTGTTGCTGAGACGCAATGCAGCTGCCGTGCAACCTCATTTTTTTTTTTAATTGTAATAAGCTCTGGTTTCTTTCTCTTCCTCTGATTTTTTTTTTTTTTTTTTTTTGACCGCCAATGATTCTACTCCTGACCTATGAAATATAAGCCAGGAACGTGTTTCTATGCAACTTGTTAGAGACCACCTACCTGGCTGAGGATAACCTA